GGTCAGCAGTTGAGATCAAGCCTCAACAGGTTTGCATGCTCCAGGGTAGGGACATGTGGCTTAGAAATGTTAGGCAGAAAAAAACAGAGATACAAAAGAAATAAACAGAGACACAGAATAGAGTCAGGAGAGCAACACAGTGAATACTGAATTCACCCATGTTTATTCTCCAAATGCTTTATATATCCCAATCCAAAAGGGGGTGAGAAGGCAAAACTACCTTATCATGATTCAAACAAGGAATAAACAAAGTAATTACCTCTTCAATACCTGAAACATCAACTAACTATATCCTGAGTTAAGTATTCTGTTATTTAGGCAGGACAGGCGGCAACCATACCTTAGGCCAAGCCTCCTAAGCAGCCACACCCTGGGTCATACCTTCTGTTATTACCTTGAAAGAGCAAGAATAGACCTGAACTCTCTGACCTTTGGTTAAGGTGAATGGATCCACCATGGACTTTGTCAGTTAGCTTGGTGCTATGTAGACTGAATACACATACACTCACACAATGACATAGTAATGCACACATATACATACAAAGATATACACATAAAGATAGAGACAAAAATACATACATGTAACTATGACTTAAACACCTTATTTACTAGATTCTGACTTTTCTCTGTAGACTTTTAATTTCTCATTTTAATGCCCCCCTCCCATGATTCTTTGGAAAGACAAGGAAGACAGGCTTATATTTTAAAGGAACAGAGCTTATTTACAGAGACAAAGAAAACTATATGTAAAATTTCAGTTAAGATAAAAATTCTCAAAGGTGAGACTTTTTGCTAGCATTTAAGTTACTACTTTCTTGGTTATAAGGGAGCTGCTTTTATGAACAGAAACTACATTTAGATATGGAAATTTCATTTACAAATAAAAGTTGAACATAGTCAACTAAAATATTAGAAAGACCTTGTACTGTAGATTTTTTATTTATTTTCTTAAAAATCAGCATGCAAAATTTCCAAGCATAGTGATCTCAGTTCATGAAACAAGACAGAGTCTGACATGTAAGTTTTCAGCAGGGGAGACTAGTGATACAAGAGCATGGGACAACATTCAATTTTCTTGTTATTGAAAAACAAAAAATCATTCTGGCAATATGAATCCTTCCTGTCTGTGAACATGGACTGTGTTTCTGATTATTTATTCTTTCTTTAATTAATTACTGTCACTTGCTTAGGCAGGGCGGCTGGGAGTCTGTGGAGTCTGGAAGTACAATACAGCATCATCTGCTCTCCTTGGATAAAGGCTTGACTGTGGGTCCTTTCCAAAGATGGTCCTTGAAAGGCTTAAGTAAGCACACTTGAAGAGGCAACCCATTCTTTATTTTTCCAAGAGCAATTTGTATGGTTAATTTTTGTTTATTAATAGTAGATAATTTGATCTGGGAAAAATTGTATTGCTTGTGATTATACTTACACTAAGGTGATATTTTTCCTATTTTTGTTCTATAGTTTTATCACTGGTATTTTCTTTTCTTTTTTTCTTTTGCTGTTTTTATATTTTAGTTTAAGGCAGGAATTTAAAACAATTAACCTTATCACAGTGCTTGAGATGGTGAGAGAGAGGGACACAGCCAGTCCCTTTAGTTTTCATGAGGTTGATCTGTAGTATGTCTGTCTCTGATTCAGTGAGTCTGGTTTTTCTGGTTTCCCACCCTGGCCTGAGTATTATATTCAATATGCCTTTGTTTCTCTCACTGACAAAAATTAGAGGGAAAAGTGTAGTTTCCAAACAGCCCTGATGACACTTAGATTAGGAATTTAAAAACAGAGCAAAGCAAGGCTGTATGGACTACCACAGTGATGTGCACAAGGAAAATGTCTGCATCTTAGACACCCTCTTGGAAATCTCTGTCTGCATATCAAGAATGCTTATCAACAAGTCAAGACTGGTTATGTATAGTCCTTGTTAATATTAGTTCATCCTAGAGAGGCCATGTTGATTTGGTGTGAGGCAGTAAGTCAATTAGTACAGTAAATTAAGATAGCACACAAGTGACAATACTGTATCCAAAGCAATTTATTGGTGCTAATTTCTTCATTTGCAAATGGACAAAGGTCACCTGTTGAAATGGATATTTTAACATATACTATGAATTGTTTTTGAACTTGAACATTTTAAAAATTAGCTGCAGTTTAGTTAAATTCGAGTGATAGTTTTAAGGTGGACCTTTTCCTCTTTGACTAGCATAATGGAGTATTTGGTTTTCATATATGCGCTGTCAGGATGGATGCAGGATTTTGATGTGTTGCTTGTCTCCTTGATCTTCAGGTACTTGTTCGTTGTGCTTATTATTATTATTATTATTATTATTATTATTATTATTATTAATGTTTTTTTGGCAGGGTTTACCTTGCTCTTCCCTGCCTTTGGTTTTCAGGGCCTTGCCTCCTTGCTCTTTCAATAGCAATTCTTAGAGCAACTTCTTTAGAATGTTTGTCCATAGATCTAAAGGTAATGTTTAATTTTATGGCCACCATCAGCAACATACTTGCTATTCAGTTAACAATTTAGGCTACAATTTGAAAAAGACTTTACACCCAGCGTTCAGTTTAGTCACCTGTGTAACTCTGTGAGGCTGGTGGCATCTCATGCTTACAAATAACAAAACCAAGGTGTTGCGGGAGGTCCTTCAGCCCCTCCAACCAATAGCTGCTGTGATACCAGCCCATTGGGGCGTGGTCTCTCTCCCTTTAAAAAGCGGCTATTTCCTCTGCTCGCTCGCTTCACTTCCTGCTCCGCCGGAGACTAGACTCCCTTCCTGGTTGTGCAGATGGCTGTTGTCTGAGACGGTGATCTGTAAGTTTTCCCCTTTAAATAAATAACACCCTATTAATCATAACTCCAAACTGGTGTGGCCTTGTTCGTGACTTACGCCTTCGCCAAGGCTCATCTACGGAAAGGAGTTTGTGTCTTTGAATTTTGTCTTTCTAGAGAAATCCACAGAGGTTACATAGCTCATAGAAAACAAGGGAGAAGGAGGAGCTCTTCCAAGGAAGACAAAATAAAATATAATGTGATAAAGAGAAAAAAGGAAACCAGAATAGTAGGGTTAAATAGAGAAGAGAATGGGAGGTCAGGGTAAAGGTGTGAATATGGGAATGCGTAACTAGCAATGATGCCTTTAGAAAAGCTATATACAAACCCACTACTCTACAAGCTCCTAAAATATATAAAAGGAATTTAAATAGAGTTGCCTTATAATGGAAGAGACAATGACCCAACTAGACATCTTATGCTACCAATTAGAGTTTCCAATTTAGTATTTAAAGGAATTATGCTTAAAGAGGTTCACAGATGTGTCCAAAATTCATACATCTGATAATGTGTGGAGCCGTGTTCCATGCCCACATCCATCTCATTCTAGTTCTCCACAGGAAAGAACAATCAATGTCAACATTTGTCTCTGGGACAGCATTTACAATAAGGTTGGCAATGGAAACTCTTATTTTCATCTCTCCATTCTTTTCTTTGTCCTGTTAGCATCATTTCCATTCCTTTGGGGGCAGAGTTCTTAGCCACTCCAATTGATCACTCAGCCTGGCCATTAGTACAAATAGACATAGTGTAAGGCATGAGGCCCCCCTTCAAGAGATAGGAAGATACTTGAAGCAGAGAGTAAGCCAATGTGGAGATAAGAAGGGAGACAACCTGATGACAGGGAAGCCCCTGAGTCAGGATTTAAATAGTCCAGTGAGCCAAGCATTACCTCACTTGTGTGAACTCTGTTCAATGGGATCCCTGATAGGTAAAACTGAACATCAAGAAAAGATGTTTAGATGCTGATTTACTTCAAAGTCCAGATAAAAATGCATCTTCTATTATCACTAATTTCTGGTATAAGAGTTTAAAAAAAAGAATTTCATGTCTCAAGTGAAAAATCACTGATAGTATAAAAATTTCAACTAAAACTTTCAAAAAATGTCAAAAATGGATTATGATTTCAAGGATGAAGCATGGGAGGAGTTGGAGGGGGAAGAGATGGGGTATGAAATAATGTAAATATAGTAAATTGTGCATGGGATTCTTAAAATATAAAACAATGAAGCCTGATTTTATGATGAAAATAACTTGAAACTATAGGTCACAGTAGTCATATTTTACTAGTTCATATTTATACTTGGGAAGCTCATCTCCACAGCTCTCAATCATGGGTCAGATGTCTGTATCAACTTGAAGTGAAGCTTTCTCCTTGACTCTTGTCTCTTAACTCATTCCTTACTTCACGGACTATTCAATTCCCCGAAACTTTACACCACTAATCTGCTTATTTATGTACCCTTGTCTTCTCTACTTGAATATCAGCTTTACGAGAACAGGGAGTTTTGTCTAATTAATGAATACATCTTTTTAAGTAGACTATGTGGTATGGTAATTATGGGCATCAGAATCAGAGCATCAAAGACAAGTTGATTAGATTTTATTAAATCTGTATCATTTCCCTCCTAGGGATATGTCTAATTCATATCCTTCAATTTACCTTGTAGTTTGGTGTGGTCCTATGGCAAATTTGGAAGCAAGCAGGAGTGACATGTTACCCTAGATTCTGAGCAATGAAATTTCTCATGCATTGAGATGCTATCATCTCAGCGTCCTTTGGGCCCTCTAGAGTCACAGAACTTATGAAGTGAATACACAGACAGAGACACAGACACTCTATCTATCTATCTATCTATCTATCTATCTATCTATCTATCATCTATCTATCTATCTATCTATCTATCTATCTATCTATCTATCTACCTATCTATGTTGGAATGATATACAGGCTGCAGTCCAACTAATTCACCAAGGGCTAGCTGTGAGCGAAAAGTCCAAGAATGTAGTAGTTGCTCAGTCCCACAAGGTTAGTTGGCTCAATTGGTCTTCTATATATGTTGGAATCCTGAAGACATAGACTCCACCACCATCTAAGGAATTAATGTGCTAGCAAGACAAGGGCAAGCAGGCAAAGAGCAAAAACTTCCTTCTTCCATGTCTTCCATAGGCTTCCAGCAGCAGAAGTGGCCAGATTCAAGGTGTGTCTTAATACCTCAAGAGCTGTATTAAATGCACACATCTTTCAGCCTCAAGATCCAGATCAAAGGTATGTGTCTTCCTACCTCAAAGGTCCAGACTAGAAGTGGATTCACCCACCTCAAATCAGGCAGAAAATCTATCACAGGTGTGTCCTCCCCTACTGGATTATAGTTAATTGGAGATACAGTCAAGCTGACAACCAAGAATAGCCATCACAGTGGGTTAGGGCCTTCTATTCTCTAAAGTCAAGTGTATAGACCGCACACTTCTGCTTGGCAGCTATGTACATTGTCTACAAGCCCTGTGCCTCTGTATACTCCACACTGGAGAGTGTGTAGCCTTCCTAAGGAAAGCCACTTGGTCCTTGAGGGACCACTTGAAGGAAAACTACCCATCCGCCTTCTGTGGAGCTTAATCTGTGAATAAAATCAACTCCTTTACATCTGAGCTACTTTAATTAGAGGAATATGAAGGTTATCTTGCTAGTATTCTGAACATATAAAATTGAAAATGTAAATGATTATTTTTTACTGATAGAAACACAAATTCACTTTCCAGTTAAAATTACTTGATAAGGATTACTGAAGTAAATCAGTGTAATCTTCCATTATTTTATAATTTTCTTTGTAATGCCAATATTGTTAGTAAAATTCAACTCAAATCCCATTAAATAGTCTGGTTGCTTGTTCCTCCAGGATGGTTAGTCTGGCTAGTCTACTGTGGAACATTCCATGACGGTGCAGGAAAATTACACGATTGGTTAGAATAATTTGATTACTCTATGATCACCAACTGGAAAGTCTAGTCATAATATCACTTTTATCTTCATTTTGTCCCCTGATAATGCATTCATGAAGTCAATCAAGCTGAATCAAATCTTTCTGGGAGGCAGAAGTCTTCCAAACTGTCTCTAACACCATCTGCCACACAAAGAAAGAAAATATGGCTTGCTAATTGGTATGTTTTGAAAAACCCAAGGGACTGAATGGTAGTAGTAGTTTGGAATCCATGGGCTTCTCTGAGACCTCACGCTACAGAACACACAGTTTCTCACACCTGAAGTTTGACTTGACTTCCTATTATTGTGCCAAGAAGAAATGAAAAGCAGATTTTTGAAAGCACGTATGCACATTGTGTTTTCTAATGCAGGCTTGCTGGAATCATATTTAAAGAACAAAGAACTTCACACTAATGAGAAATGTATGTTTCCTTCACACTGGTCTTTTAATTCCTCACAAGTAGCCACTACTAAAAGTTGCTTGTTTCGGTCTCCTTTAATTTGGGAATATTTTCATTAGGGTTTGAAGGCTCTTGCACTTTGATCATCAGAATTGATTGAGAGATACCTGTACTTGGGGAAGCAGGTTGTTTTGATTGCTTAATTTAACCAAGTGGCCTGGACGGTTGTGGTGATGTGATTACTCTGTGTGGTAGAGTTCTCATCCCTCACTGAAGTCACTGACTTCCCTGCGATTACCGTCTGTCTATATAACATCCTTCCTGGAAGTTGGACAAAGGATGAGAGTCTGAAAGTCCCTCTTTTAGTATGGACATTTTCCTGTATCCTCTGTATTTCTGATCTAAGAGCTTTAAAGTCCATGTGAACATTCTTACTCTGGAGGCTCCAGGCGTGGAGCCTTTTAGTTCAGATTATTTACAATAAATTTCTGCCTCTGAAGCAGAGATGGGTATTGTTGATGGCTGGGTAGTCACTGCACTTCGTAGGGAAAAGCAGCCTCTAGAGTAGACCTTTCCCCTGTGTTGTGTCCTGTGGGTACACAACCCTTCATAGGGAGAAGAATAAAGGTTTCCTCTGGTTCCTCTGGTTATTTTGCAGATTTATTTTCTGTGCTGGAACAAATGTAGGCAAGCAAACACACAAAAGTGCAAATGTGTGAAATGGGCTTTGCCTTGTTATTAATCTCATGTTTATTGTTCTCGGTCTCTGTATTCACTGAACGGATATCTTTTAATCTATGTTACCAATATGATGACAGCCAGTATCCAGGTACCGTGGGTTTATTACTGTAACCTATTTCTTAACAGAATTAGATTTTGATTTGATTAGAATATTTAATATTGTGATACTTCTCTATTGAATTTGGAATAAGCAGCTCAGGGTTTTCTTGTGGAAACATTTATTACAGACAGGTAATTACTAAGGAAAACTTTGATGGTACACTATTCGCACGGAGTATTAGACTATTGTCTGGGGACTTGATGTTGCTGGAGACAGTAGAACAGTTTTATGGCTGGGTCATAAAGATGACATATAATATAAAATTTCAGAAGGGTGAGGATGACATCCCGCACTATACTGCACTTGGTCTAAGTCAGCACACATTCAGGAGATGTGATGCAAAGAGAAACTGGAAAACTCTAATTAGAATGGGGGTGATATTTATACATTGTATTTATATTTGTTATTTTATATTATATATATTATGAAATATGTAATTTATATTATATTATATATAATGCCCATATTAGCAGTATGTACTATTTACATTTAAAACAACAGAAACTTATGTGACTGATAAAAGACAAAAAACAGGAAAATATAATTTGTGTCCTAAATACCTGGGTGAGATTTAGCAATTTAATTTTTAATTCAATCAAATATCCTTCTAAAGTAAGAGGAACAAGAGGCCACAAGTAAGGATCGCTTATTCTCAAGAACCATCTTTCATCAATGTGTGAATTTGTTGCTTATATATGCTGAGATCTTAGCACCTCTGTCTATGAGATTATTTGTATTCTTGCATGAGAATGTTTCAAAGTCATTTTACCCTAGGCAACAACAGGCACAGCTACTCAGCAAATATCCTAAAGATCGGTACCAGCCTCTATTGCTGCAATTTCAAATTGTGAAATTTAGTGGTGTAAATCACTCAAATTTCCTATCTCACAGTCCAATAAGGGTTGTGCATGGTAGAATGCTGGTCTAAAGTCCAGGTGCTGTAGCACTCTCTCTGAAGGAACTAGGAACTGCCTAGTTCCTTGCCTTGAGTCCCCTTCTAGTCCATCACAGCCATCAGCTGTAGCATCTTTCTCTGATCTTGCAGGTACTGTCTTCTCTTCTTGTGACAAGCAAGGTTCCTTTTCTTTAAGGATTCTATGGTTAGATAGGGCCATCTGGATACTTCAGAAAAACTTCCTTTTTAACTTGAATCACACTTGACATTTTCCTTTTCTCATGTGAAGTAATATATCAAATGGTTCTGGGATGAATAACTGAGGGTCCATTGTTCTGCCTATCACAGGCTATCGGCTTGGATTCTCTGACAAAGCAGGGTATAGATCCAGTATCACATACAAATCTTGTATCTACAGCACAGCTCCTCTGGTGTTATGCTGAAGGCGTGGATATGCTTCTGTGATAGTTTGAATGTAATTGGTCCCCTTAATCTCGCAGGGAGTGGTACTATTAGGAGGTGTGATTCACTGGAGTGGGTCTGGCTTTATTGGAGGAAGTGCGTCACTGTGGGGGTAGCCTTTGAGGTTTTCCATGCTCTGGATATCCCAGTGACTCAGTTGACTTCCTTGCAAGATGCTGCACTCTCTGCTCAGGCACCACGTCTGCCTGCATGCTGTCATGCTCCCTGTCATGATGATAATGGACTGAACCTCTGAAACCGAAACCCTGTATAGCAACAAAAATCCTAACTAAGACACTTTTCCTAAGAGCTACCATATTTCCCCCCATGCATTTGAAAACTATATATTAAACGTCTATTATGTTTGGGGTACTTAGCTAGAATCTAATAAAATAAAATTAAAGATAGAATTCATTTAGAACTTTTCAGTAAACTGAAACAATAATTAAATAGTGTAAAGGTGTGAGTGAGTACAGGGTATCATCAAATTTTATGAGGTTTCCAGGACACAACGAAAAATTTGGCATGATATCTCAGAAAGAAAGCACCTAGTTGCTCCACATGCTTTGCAGAGTGGGCTGTGTGTGTGTGTGTGTGTGTGTGTGTATGCACATGTGTAGCTGTGTAGAAACCAGTGGAGGCACAGAAGCACTAGATTTAATTTTACTACTGTATTCTGGCGATAATGGCTGTTCAGTAAACAAACAAAACTGCTTTCATGGAGCTTACAATAACTAGATTCTTTAAGAGTTAAAAGCTAAAAGTCCCAATTTGATAGATTGAGCAGCAAATTTTCAGAGCAAAAGGATAAGCAAGGTTGAGAAGTCTGGGGAATATGGAGGCGTTGGCAGAGTTGAGAGTCAGGAGTATGAAAAGGCAGTCACAGAGCCTATTGACACTCACAGTTAGAAGAACCTTGAAGAAGGCAATGTGGCTTCAAAATTGGAGAAGTGTGGCTTTGGGAATGATGTGTAGGCATACCCCAGGGGAAGTCTTGGTTGATCATTTTGAGTTTTTTTATTCCTCAGTTGCCTTTGAGGTGTACTTAGGTGTAGATAAAGAAGGAATTTTGTAAAAGGTATAAAGAGTTCCGAAAAGAAGGAAGTTTGTTTTCCTGAACTCAGTTTCAGGCGACAGAAACGACACATATGTGAATAAAGTTATGAAATAGCTTTAGCCTTCGTTTTCAGATCATGATGCTAGGCAGCTTATGCACCACCTGACGGTGCAGTGACTACTTGTTACTGCAATTTCTAGCAATTTCTGTGGATGCTTTAAGTTCTCATCCCTCTCCACCTGCGTTCTGGCCTCCTCTCCGTGTCACAGCACAGAGCAGCACAGGACACAGTACACCAACAAATAGCACACCTGTCAGTCACACGTCATCTCTGTCCTTGGAGCTCCCAGACAGAACACACGAAATCTGAACGAATTATGAGAACATTACTAAAATTCAAGAAAGACCACGTAGAATGCGGGAGCCTTGTGTCACTCTCCGTCAGGGAGACCCGTCTTCTCAGTCTGTCCCCAGTGTCCTGCTATACTGCATTCTGCAGTTCATATTTCTCAAGTCTGGATTTAGCCCTCATCTACCTGTCGTAAACCTAGTTTAGCTCTGCTGTTGCCTCATCACTAAGACTTCCAGCCAATCATCTCAGTCCCGTCCATTGTGTTAATTATTTGAATTGAT